GGGTAGATTGCATGCACAGAAACGTATTCAATCACGCACACACGCACGCACGCACACATGCAGGGTAGATTGCATGCACAGAAACGTATTCAATCACGCACACACGCACGCACGCACACATGCAGGGTAGATTGCATGCACAGAAACGTATTCAATCACACACAGACGCACGCACACACGCACGCAGGGTAGATTGCATGCACAGAAACGTATTCAATCACGCACAGAAGCACGCACGCACGCACGCAGGGTAGATTGCATGCACAGAAACGTATTCAATCACGCACAGAAGCACGCACGCACGCACACAGGGTAGATTGCATGCACGCACGCACGCAGGGTAGATTGCATGCACAAAAATGTATTCAATCACGCACAGAAGCACGCACGCACGCACGCAGGGTAGATTGCATGCACGCACGCACGCAGGATAGATTGCATGCACAAAAATGTATTCAATCACGCACAGAAGCATGCACGCACGCACGCACGCACGCACGCACGCAGGGTAGATTGCATGCACAGAAACGAATTCATGGGAAGGGCAGGGATGGAAACCAGATAGTGCAGGTATTACAGCGCAGGTATATAGATAGCACAGGTATAGAGGGAAACCAGATAGCGCAGGTATTAATGAGATTCTCAAGGCAGTAAGCAAGCGGGGGGTCTTGCCGCGGCGGTGTAATTTAAACTCACTAGAAGATGTTGATACTGTGTGTGTGTGTGTGCGCTCACGCAGGCAATGCAGCAGAACTGGGGGCATCAACCAATCATGAGTCCAACGCTGCTCACCCACCAGCCCGTCTACATACGACCGCAGCAACAGACCGGAGAAATGTACATCCAGCAGGTGCAGCCGATCCAGTCCCAACAGGTAACCGACACACAGGTTAACGAGGTTACCTGTAGCAGGTGCGACCGATCCAGTATTAACAGGTAACCGACACACAGGTTAACGAGGTTACCTGTAGCAGGTGCAGCCGATCCAGTATTAACAGGTAACCGACACACAGGTTAACGAGGTTACCTGTAGCAGGTGCAGCCGATCCAGTATTAACAACTAAAAGGGCAGGTGATCATAGTTTAACGAGGTTAATTAGACCCAGAAGATCTCCCAGATCCTGTCTCAACTAGCGAAAAGGGCAGCAGTTGCCTCTAGCTGATGTCACCCATTAGTCCAATCAATATATGAAAATTTTTGGCCTACCTGGAATATATTGCAACAGAAGGTTTTATTGTTGGAAGTCATTGATTAGACCCTCCTAAACTTCATATGCAAAATCAGCCAAAATCAGACCACGGGAAACTGGCTAATTAGCATAAATCCAAAATGGCCACCATTTTCATGTTTGATGCCTTAATTATATCTCCTAAACAGGTATTGTTGTACCCAAAAAATGTATTACTAATGGATACAAATATACATGCAATGATCATCCAGTTGACCTTTACGAGTGCGCACGGGGTATGCTTAAATGAAAAGAAAATGACTAGATTGAATAAATTTCAAAACTAAATTGCTGCCTGTCGAGTTTGCAAGCTTTTAGCGATCCTTCCGAATATAACTAGAGCCTGCTTGCAGACTAACCTCCATTCACGTTGAAGGATATTGCTCCGTGTTCAGGTACGCATGTTACACCGACGTTTGGAGGTGCAGGGATTTAAACATGTTGAGATCCTAACCTATGGGAAGCTGTACAGGCCCTATTTGGCAATTGTTAACAGCGAACAAGGCTGTGTAACAACTGAACAATAATTCCACCAAGATGCATAACAAATCCGTATTGGGGTGGGAGGAAGGGCTGCTCCTTTAGAACCTGTAAATCTGAGATTTTGAGAGGCCCCTTCAGATCGTGACAATTTTGCAAAAAAGCTGTTAGCACTATCTACATCCAACAAATTCTAGATTGTATTACTGTATGCGCCATATTTTTCGCGTACAGATATTTCCGCAAATTCAGACTTGACGGACAATTTCGCGAGTGGTTAATTTCGCTGTCGGTGAATTATGAATTATTCGGTATTATTCGGTACGAATTATTCGCGTGTTGTTATTTTCGCGGTCGAGGACGCGTTCGCGAAATTCGCGAAAATTAAACCACCGCGAAATATATAGCATGTACAGTATGCCTAAACCTGGCCGCGACTGTATGATCGCCCGCGACTGTACGATCGCCCATGATTGTACGATCGCCCCATGATTGCGTTGCTGGTTCTTATTATCCCTCTATCATTCAATCGCCGCTGCATTAGATCCAGCTGCAGACGAAACAGCCGACTGGCCAGAAGAGTCTGGCGAATATCCTACCAGCCAATCACAACGTCGCGCAAGCACAGCCGCCATGTTGTAGTCCGCTGCCGCCTGTTGCCGCCAACGGTAAGCCGAAGCGACCAAAGAATGCAAAGAGTGGCGGCGGCGGAGGCACCGGCAGCCGCGCCACGAAGAACGCTGCCAACGCAAACAGAGGACCAGGTTCGTTCGTTCGATCACTGAATTTGTTTGTTCGTTCGTCA